CTTTTCTTTGTAACAATCCATCTATCCCGTTTCAGTAAACCTCTTGCAAACGCCCCGAGATAAAAGTTCTTTCCAATGTTAGCTTGGATCTAAATTAACTAATCACAGATGATTAACGTGTGACAAAGATGCTCGAGGGAAGAAGTCTCGTGTAAATAGAATTACTGCCATTTGGCAATCATTTTCTGAAAGCATGCATGAACCAAAGGAAGTCAGGAGAGACAGAATTAAAACGAGAGACTTGCTGACAAGAAGAATGAAACGAGGAATTCTCACGAATGCGTTTCAACCACTGTATGCAAATCTCGGCACATTCATCCTCGAGCAAAACGTCAGTCTTGGTTGATGAAGGGAAAACAATCTCGTCACAAAGTGCACGCGAGCAAAAGTCACTCGAGCGGAAAAACGCGACCTTTAGAAACGTCGGTGGAACGATTTTCCGCTGTCTGTCTCTGTCACCCGGGTCGTTGGAATAATGGAGTTTGGTTCCGGCGTTGGAGCAACGACGGAGCTTCCTTTCACCAGCCATTATGCCAGCGTGAAGCACTTCTTTCACCTTGGCGGCCCGCTTTCATGCGAGCCAGCATGACGGCATCTCTCAAACAATCCTGCAATTATTTCTATATCTGTGCGCAAGGTGATTTATAAATCGAGGTGCAAGAGTTAGATGAAGTTGTGATCGAGCAAACTGAGTAAAGAAACGCAGCCTCAGAATCTCTTTTTGCTAGAAACTTTTTGATTGAAAATTGAAAATTTTATAGAAGAGAGAGGAGCTAAGATCTAATATTAAATTAAATATTGTTGTGAAGGATGAAAGTTGAATTATAATTATGATTATTGATTCTGAGTTACAATCATAATATTCTATAATTATATAATTCTATAATATTCTCTAAATTTCATGAGTTTCCACCAATATCGACGAAGTACTTCCTATTTCAATTACCATTTAAATTTTCACTGATTGATAAATCAAGACAAGAGTTAGATGAAGTTGTGATTGAGCAAACTGAGTAAAGAAACGCAGCCTCAGAATCTCTTTTTGCTAGAAACTTTTTGATTGAAAATTGAAAATTTTATAGAAGAGAGAGGAGCTAAGATCTAATATTAAATTAAATATTGTTGTGAAGGATGAAAGTTGAATTATAATTATGATTATTGATTCTGAGTTACAATCATAATATTCTATAATTATATAATTCTATAATTCTATAATATTCTATAATTCTATAATATTTTTATAATTATATAATTCTATAATATTCTCTAAATTTCATGAGTTTCCACCAATATCGACGAAGTACTTCCTATTTCAATTACCATTTAAATTTTCACTGATTGATAAATCAAGACAAGAGTTAGATGAAGTTGTGATTGAGCAAACTGAGTAAAGAAACGCAGCCTCAGAATCTCTTTTGGTTGAAACTTTTTGATTGAAAATTGAAAATTTTATAGAAGAGAGAGGAGCTAAGATCTAATATTAAATTAAATATTGTTGTGAAGGATGAAAGTTGAATTATAATTATGATTATTAATTCTGAGTTACAATCATAATATTCTATAATTCTATAATATTCTTATAATTATATAATTATATAATATTCTATAATTCTATAATATTCTCATAATTTCCTACAATATCGACAAAGTACTTTCTATTCCAATTAAAATATCTATTCGAAGAAGAAGAAGGAAATCCATTAGAATTTTCACTGATTTATAAATCAAGGCAAGAGTTAGATGAAGTTGTGATCAAGCAAACTTTTGATTGAAAATTGAAAACTTTATAGGACAGAGAGGAGCTAAGATCTAATATTAAATTAAATATCTTTGTGAAAGATGAAAATTGAATCATAATTATATCTGAATTATATCTGAATTACAATATATATTACAATATATATTTCTATAATATTCTTATAAATTTCATAAATTTACATCAATATTGACAAAGTACTTTCTATTTCAATTACCATTTAAATTTTCACTGATTGATAAATCAAGACAAGAGT